ACAACTTAAAATATGGTGTTCTATTATCTTGACCAAAATATTATCAACATGGATCACATAAATCAATCTTGTAATTTATTGTAATGAATATTCAATGAAAGTGTTACAAATATTTATAAAATAATATTTATCTTGACCAAAATATTATCAACATGAATCACGAAAATCAATCTTGTACTTTATTATAATAAATATCAATGAAAATACTGCAAATATTAATAAATTTGTTTAAGTAATTATTTGATCATATATTATTTGATCTTATTTGAAAACATATAAATAGAAGCAATTAATGCATATATTTTAAAAAAAAAATCCAAAAATAATATGCATTAAATGTTTCCTAAATTTTTGTTACTATTTTTAGTAAATGGTAATTCTTTTTATATATATGTAGATATATATATATATATATATATATATAATATATATATATAGATTGAGTTAACTAACACAATGTCTACATTAATTTTTTTTATATTTTTTTATTTGATTATTGAGTTAACAATGTTTATAATTTTATGGCGAATGTAGGGTAACAAATTTCTTTCACTCCAAAATCTTCAATTAATAAGGGGATTCTAACACCATATTCTAACGGGATTTCTTCCATTTATTTATTTTGTATATACTCAAATACTTATATTTTTTTTTTGTTCAAATTATTTTTTCATGTGCACCCGTGTAGTACGTAGATGTCGTACTAGTTATTTTTAAATGTAATATTAAAATTATTTTGGAAATAATAATGTTTTAGTTCATTCCTTTTTTTATCGAAACGATGGATTTTATAACAAGAACGCATAGATACAACTAGACATCAGCCAAATAAGCCAAGCAGCCATCGAGCTGAATCTAGCGAGAGGAATACACACATAAGTGCATCCTAGAGATAGCCAAACTAACTCACCCGCTGCACCACAAACTAAACTAAACTAAACACTCCCACAAGAAAGAATCAACTTCAACAAAGAAAAATCACACTTCAAAAAAGAAGAATTAAACAGCACACCAACACACCCAAAACAACACGAAAACAAAATAAACACACAATGCTTAAATAAACTCTTCTCTCACCGACAACCAACTGCGAAGCCACGAACACAACACCCAAGGACAACCGGCCACACAGATAAGAACCCAACTTGAATATAGCTCCAAAAACTCCAGAGGTGGCTAACCCGGCTAATTGAAACCACACCAGACGGCCAAATTCACCACCCGAGCGGACCATCCCGGACCAGCTACCGGATGCCAGCTCCTCCTCTTCACACACAACAACCATGGATTGCAAGCACCAAACACGACCCACAACCCGCAGCCCGTACCCGGCCCGACGTCCAAGCACTAGGGAAGAACAGGAAAAGAGGGAAAAAAACCTAACCTCGGCCCCAACGAACTCAAAGGAGAC